ACTTTGTAGTTGTATATGCCAAAACCAGTGAAAATGTAAGTAGTATTATAGGATTAAGTTATTGGAAAATTGTTTGAGCAAAACTGCATGGAATTTGGCATTGTTTATAACTCGTCAAAGTAATAATACAGAATATTTACAAGATAAGGTTGAAGTTGTTTTAAAACTTTCATAAATTTTAAGGCAATTGAGCAATAAAACATGATGACGTCATTACAAAATATTTGATATCTGTTAATAAACTAATTTCAAATAATCAGAACAGTTTACAAATCAGCATTTATACATATATGGATTCAAATGTGATACACAATAAAGTGAAAGTAACTTTCATAACTTTACTATATTCGAAAATTCGATTAATTATATGCTGGCAGCCATGTTAAAAATGACGTCACCAGAAAATGGCGTTAAAATAAAAAAATCATTTGGCTCATCGACTAGAAGTGTAGCAAATAGTGTGAACTTTGTTTGCACCAAAATTCATGCTTGTATCACAAAGTGAACGATTTGGCTAAATTTTGCCATTAGCTATATGTAAAGTGGCCTAGCAGTAAATACTCGAAAAGGATTAGTTTAGGGACACTTGACTTAGTTGTTGTATCCTGTGTGTAAAGACGACTTGTGCAGCGGATGAGGAAAATCTTGATATAGCAGGACACTGGTCAAGGAATCTTAGACCCCCCTCACATGAACAATTTCAGGTCGGTCTGAAACTCAGATCAGCTTGAAATTTGATGGTGCGTGCTAATTTGACTCCCGCTCACATGAACATTTTCCAACCGGCTTGAAATTCAACAGGCTTTTGCACATCCGCATTTATTGCCAATTCAGTTCAATACAAACATGGCGCAAAATAATTTCATATTTTATATCAGTATTGAAATAGATTTTGGTTGTTTTAGTCTCTGCTTTGCAACTTCTTTTTGTTTTGCTTCCTCAACTTATTTCTCAAATAAGCCATCTTCATCAGAAAATCGATCTTGCTAAAGAAGAAAAAGTCGTGTTTTGTGCAGATACTGAGAGTGTTAGAATCAAGTCAAACGGCACCAAAATCTCCCAGATACTTTCTTCATCTTCGTAATCTTCTGGCTTTTCTGATTTGTCACAATCTTCACCGCTTCCATTATAAACAACGTCAACAGAGTCTGTTTTTTTAGCGAATTGACACAAAATTTTTCCACCTTGTTTTTTTCCTTGCTCTTTTCCTTCTTCTTGGATAACTATCAGCATCACTCATTTCAGAGTCTGCTTCTTGTTGGTCCTCTGGTACTTCTGTTTGTTTCATTCTCTTCGATCGATTACCTGATAAGGATGGAGGTAACTGTTTCCCTTTGAACCAAATAGGTACAACGAGATTTTCATCTGCATCCCATCTCCAACCATTCGTTTCAAATGAAATACCTGGGATCATAATTTTATTGGAACTAAGCCAATGAAACACCTGATAATTTACCCTCATGATCGCTTGTTCTACTGAATCAGGATCTGGAGGAATAGCGCTGGATGACTTCACTTTTTTATTTTTGTAAATCCTCATTCTTGTTTCAACGTATGATTCAGTAAACGTGCCATTGTAAAAAACCATCCGGATGAATTCCTTAACTTGTCCCATTTCATGTTCTTTTATTGTGAAATCTTGTCCTAATCCAGCAAGAAGGCCACATTTATCTTGTGCATCCATTAATTTCTTTACGACTTTTACTTTTCCGACCTTAAAATAGTAGGACGTTGTATCACACCCAGAAAGGGCATGAATTGCTGGCAAAGCATTACACATGTCTGATCCAATGGCCTCACAAATTCCACGTATGTCAGCAAACTTTTCATTTTCGTATTTCAAAGCCATCTACTCTTAACCTCTAATTTCTTAAAGGCCCATACAAGAAGTATTAATACATCTATATCTTCCGAGACTACGACTGTATACCTATCTTCTAGAGATGCGTGTAAAACAAGGCGTGTGTCTGCTTCCTCATGATTGCATTCATGAAGGAGCTTGCAGCTGTTCTTGTCGATAATGTATGTGGCAGCCCCGTCAGTCATTATGAACGGCTGCTTCAAGACTTCTTTTCCTTCTTCACTCTGAATGTACTTTGAAATTAGTTTATTAAGTTTCCTTTGTTCCTTCCATTTTGGAGAAAGTCGTTCCATTTAGTTCCTTGAGGCATATGCTGGTCAAAACATTCAAGCTTGACACCTAGCCCTGTCTCGCCGCGCTCCTTTCTCGTGCCACTCTTCCAATTCGTTCTCTATAGGTATCATTAATCATACCAACAACAACTGGCCTCGATGTGTCAGGTGTCTGCAGAAATCGAAGTAGATTTATGGTCCATTCTCTGTATGTTTTCTTAGGCTTCAAAGTTCTAATTACGGCAAGTCCATCGATAAACCATGCTGCTTTCTCTGGTGGAGCCCTTACGGAGATTTGTGATTTTGCAATAAGGAAATTCCTCAAAGAAGCTTTGTCCGACTGTCGAAGTGAACCTTCTGGAGTAGCTATGGCAAGGGGCACTGATGTAATAGGATATCGAAAAGCATCTTCCATGCTAATCGCTTTGGCAACAATGAGACCAAACGCCTGACAATCTTTCTTTAACACAGAAATAGCTTTGAGAGGTGCCTTTTTCCATTTGATGCCAGTATCCAGCTTCATTTTCTTTATTGGATCAAAAAACTTTGCTTGCGTTGAACGAGTCTGTCAGTCACGAATGTTTGCAATGCATCACTTCCAACATCATGAGCTTTGAGCATGTCTTTGCAGATTGATGGTGTAATCAGAGCACCCGAGTGAAAGCATCTTGGAGTCTCGTTTGAAAAAGGATCTGCGCTATAGCCTCGAAGAGTAGACTTTAATTGAGAAACATGCTGGTAGTAGAAATTTTTGCCGCTTTTTGTCGTTTCTTTATGCTTCGGAGATAGTTTTATATGAAGATGCTTCCTCAAAGCAATCCTCAGCATGCTGTGAACATGGATTGTATGTATCCAAGTATTAACCGTGCTAAGATTTGTACTGAAGCTTGATCTAAAAGGTCCAGCTGTACCTTTGGTCTCTTTGTTAAACAGCTCAGTAATAAGGTCACCATGTATGCTTGAGAACCTTTCACCAGTCATGCTCCCGCCGTGTCCTTTTGTTTGCAAATCTTGAAACGCAGGATGTTCTGTCCTCTTGAGCTCTTGTAGGTTCACATGTTGGAAACTGCAATATCGAGCATAATTTTGATGGTCAAAAGCAAATGCAAGAGTAACCATCTCATATTCTGCTTCCATATGCCGTTCAATATCGCATTCCCGTACTGAAGAAATCAGAGCAAGCATCACGGAAACGTCCTTCAAATATTGCACCGTTAAGTGGCCTTCGCTTTCTTCTTCATAGCACAAAACATTTTGACAAAGCACTGCAAAACTAGGATGGTATATCAGGTCATTCATTGTGGAAGGAGAAGGTTCTTTGCGAAGCTTCTCGATTGTTGCCATTAAATGGGGATCTGTTTTGGAGTGTCCATCTAAAATAACAAACATACAATAATCAATGAAATGATTTTATAGATATTTTCAATGGTACATGAATAACTTATTTCCAGAACTTAAAAACAGTAAGATATCCAGCTTTGGAAAATGGAGAAATATGAGAGTTATAAGCAATCGGCGTAGTATTTTGGCATTCACCTGTAATATGCTCTATCCTAAATTGTACAAGAGCGTCGAAGCATTCTTTGTGCAGACGCATGCTTCTAAAGTAATGCCTGCCTTCCAATGCTGAGTCTGCAGATCCAGGAGCTATTACTTCTGCGTCAATACACCATTCTTTCATTCCCTTGCAACTGTATCTTTTAAACAGCAGCAATTGCATCACGCGAACCTGATGAAATCTTCCCATAAGTAGCACAATACGGTTATACAGTTCTTGATTTTTCCACAGAATGTGGCAAAGCTTTGCATAAACCATTTCGTCCGAATGAACAAACATAAACGGTATCTCTAGCTCTTCTATCATGTCAAGAAGAAAATTTAAATATTCTTTGCACACAGGATATTCCGGAGGATATTTTTTCAATTTGTTTGATAAAGTTTCAAATTCTCTATTGCTAACTTCCTGGTCTATTGCTTTTAAAAAGTCCTGGTTATTGTATCTTGATCAATAATCTTTAGTATTATCATATCTAACCTTTTACTATATCATATAACCATATTCTATGTAATTTTGTTTCTTAAATTGTGTCAAATTTATTATTTTTTTGACCAAATAGGGTGTTCGGCTCGAAAATCGTCTCCATTCTCTCAGCATCTTAGGCAAGTATGCTAATAAGAACGATGTTATTCTAATAATCTTAATTTATAGACAGCTAATTGATTATCATAACTAATTTTAAACCAAAATTGTTTTTGTTGAATTACATGAATTTCAATTTGAATTTGATCATTCTACGAAAAAGAAACCATTGGCACTGAAGCGGGAACACAAGAAGTGAACGGCATAACAGCAGTGGCGGCTCGTAACTTTCACAGTTGGGAGGGCAGAACATCAATATTGCGATAATCGATAGAAAGGTCGAGTTTGCAAATTTTTCACTGTATTCATGGTTCGATGTTGATCGTCATGGAGCGCAGAAGAAAAAGCATATATAGATGTGGTTGATGTTTAGCGATGATGTCATTTTATGGGCAAAATTTTTCTTGCCCCAAATTCCTCCAAATAAGCCAATCATAGGCCGCGTTTCGCAATGCCCGAGGTCGAAAATTAGCTTGTGCGCATGTCGGCTAGGGGCAAAAAAAACTTTGCCCGTAAAATGACATCATCGCTCAAGGCACTAGCGGGCCAGAAGCGAGGCTAAGGACGAGACGGAATAGCAAGGAGCTTTTTCTAGAAGAGATACAAACTTATATAATTAACCACAGTAAGGCTATCTTCAAAATTAAATATGAATATCATAGATTTCCTTTAAATCTTTTTGAGGGGGCATTGCCCCAGATGCCCATTAGCAAGAGCCGCCACTGCATAACAGGCTGCTTGGCCGAAGGGAGAGAGAACAGAGATATCTGTCTATGCAAGTCTTGGTTCTCGAGCAGTAAACATTGTTGAAAGCCATTGGTTTAAGAATGATTCAGTCTTGGCAGCATTGCTGCAAGGATCAGGATTTCACAGTCTGCCATTTTGTCAGACAGTCTGCTTTGATGATTGGTAAACAATATGCCTCTTGATCAGATAATAGCACTGGAATGTGAATTTCAAAGTTGAATAGCACAGGCAAAGGAAGAATAGGAGTTAGGGTGGGGGGTGTGTGCTGCAGCCATCAAGCGACATCATTCGGGTAAAATCCATACTAAAGCCACCGCCCCAAATGTTGAGCCTCCCCCACACCCATGTTGAATAGCAACATGTATCAGTCTTAGATGAAAAAGAAATAGATCACAACTTTGCAACATCTCAAAAACTCAATATGCTTTATCTTTTAGATAGGTGATATATGATAAAATGCAGTGAAACATTTCAAGCAGTGTTTCTACAAACTAAATAGAACAAGTCAAATAAATGAAAGGGATACGAAGTGTGCTAAAATTTTATGGTTAAGAGAGCTGTCAATAAGCCTGACCGCTCTGACGGCTTTTGCCTCTTGCAGAAAAGTCTCCAATGTACGATGTCAATAGAGTTCAATAATATTCTATATATTCAATTTGTTGGTAGAATAATAAACTTCAAATAGGGACAGCTACAGAACGAAAACAATTTTTTGAGAAGTTTTAAAAGCGGGGGTATGAACTACTTTGCATATTTTATGGGGTTTTGGAACTTTTTGCCGTTTTTGCCAAGGGCTTTGAAATTTTTGGTGCTTTAAATGATTTGCTTCTTTCTTGGCACCGGTCAGACTTAAAGACAGTTTCCTAAGGTTGATAATTGTTGCAATATCTAATAACTCTGAATCATTATCGAGCAAATGCTAAGAAAAACATTTAATATTTTGCGGCCAGCATGTATGCTCAGCCTTATCAAGGCCCACACCACCAGGGGTGGGGATGGGGGGTGGGGGGTGCGGAGGGGTAATGGCCCCCTCGCTTTTTTGGTAATCTAAAATAGGCTTTGTTTTGAAGCACTAAATTCAAGTTCAATTTATAAGACTTGGCCCCTCCACCTTGAAATTCGTGGCGTGGGCCCTGTAACATCTATATTTATTTTCTATGTTTTAAAACAAGATGTAGTACCCACAGTATCGGAGCTAAGGGGGAGGGGGGGGCTGGTTGGGTCAAAATCTCCATACAGTCCGTCTACCATTACAGGTTGATGGAACTAAGACTCAAATATGAAAGATTTTCATATGATAATGCCTAATCTTAATAGTGTCGTATCGGATGTACAGTTCTTATCACGGATGCACGAGCCGACCGTATGGAAGCATTTGCGCTAAATACAAAAGATAGAGGGTTATCCGCAAAAATCTTTTTCTATATATACGATCAATGCAACCGAAATTTGATTGATCGGTTTAGACACTTGGGGTTGCCATTACAATTAGGAAACCAGGTTTTATGCTCAAAGTTTCTTGTTGCTTGCTGCAGTTGTTGAATGATATTCTATAGTTTGGCGAAGGTGGGTTTCAAAGATTAGACTGTCAGAGTCATGGTTATGGAATCTACTATTGGAAATGTGGATAGGGATAAACCTGATCATGAGAAACGAATAATATGACTGCATCTGAAGATTTTGCAGCTATATCAGGCAACAACTTGTAGTTAGACGCTTATTAAGAATGTTTAGCTTCCTTGAAATGTAATTTCAGTATTAAAATGTAATTTTTATCTTTACGATGAAAAGAACTTCTCCTACTTTGGATCTGTTAATACTGTTTTCATGTCAATCAAAGTTCAGACAACATAGCTTCTGCTACCGCAGACGTCTTTCAACTTCAATATCCAGGCATTGTAAATCAATTATGAGATTCTTAACTTAATACCAAAACGATATCTGACGAACTTAAGGATATGTAAAGAAAATCTAATGGCCAACTTTTTATATGGCAAGACTATTCTACTTACACTAATGCAATTAAAATACGAGCAAATCAAGCAACTTGTGAAGTAATAATGAAAAACTTTTGTTTTGTGACTTTGTAACAAATATTTAAATTTACAATTCTGTAATTCAATACTCCGTCTTCTTTAATATTGTTTGCTAATTTTATCTCTGTTTGAATATACGTGGAATTAGTATCAGTGGAAAATGGGATAAAACAATATTACATTTATTTTTCTGGGTAATATACATACTGCTTAGGAGTCAAGGGGAAGGGGCCACATGGGGGCCAAACTCTTGTCCAACAACCAAAATTCAGTAACATCTAAACAAGCCGGATGCTTTTTCCTAAGTAGCTACCAGAGCCTCAGTGAAAGAGTGGGTCATTGAAAGAGTGGGTCAGTCTTTTTCACCTTTGTTCGACCATCTCTTTCACTGTTGCTCTGATAGCAAGAGTAGGAATGCTACAACAAAGAGAAGCATCGTTTTCTTACGCTCGTGGAGAGAGAAGGGAGAAGGCAGGAAAACATACATAAATTAGGTCTAGCTCATGACTAACTCTTGGCTACGTAAAGACAGTTTTAGAATCACAGAATTAAAAATGCAAAATTGATTCTGCCAAGAAATGGGGGAACGTTTCCCCCCGGGATGCATATTCGTCTTTGCTATTTAACACTGCATTCAAAAGAATTGACGTGATTGAGGGGTGGCTTTCCTTCTTCCTATTTTCAGGCGTGCCAATCTTTTGAAATTTCGATGCAAAATAAAAAATGCAACGCACTTAAACGTGATAGTAAAGACAAAGAAAACTGGAAAAAGGTTAAAAAATGGCGCTATAAGGCTACAGAGAAGAGGAAATTCTAGGTGATGATGAAAAAATTGACAGAAGGAAACAGGTATCTCAAGCAGCGTTAAGAAATAACATTGAAAGTTGTTCAAGAAGAATAAGTATGAAACGATGAAAATGAAACAGAAACTTTTAAACGCTCTTTAGAGAGCACACTTCCATGCAACTGCATCACCATCGCAAACGAAAAAAGAATTAAACAATTTCCATAAAGGAGACCATTCCCCAATTATTGGAAGAAACAAGAACAAGCTATATGAGTAGAAAACATTTATACAAATCACTGTTAAAATCACATCAACAGCATGGAAACTTTTCAGAATGGACAAGTACGTACCATTAAGACTGGCAATATAATATCTCTTCCTAAAAAGAACAAGCAAATAATCAAAGGTGAAATACCGCAACATATACAACCACGGAGAAAGATGTCAGATTAAAACAATTGAGAAAAAAACTTTGAAAAATGACTGGGCTGTCGATCTCTGCTTTGAAAGGAAAGAAGCATGCTAGGCCGTTGTTTATGCATTGTTTGCATGCCTCGATCTAGTCTCGATCTAGTCTTCATGGGCCTGAAGGTTAGACAGACACTCCAAACCAGTACTGTGTCGTGCTAGTAGAAGCTTCTGTGCAACTGAAGTCTTTATTTATAGTTTCATGATAGCCAAAATTGTCTTCACTTGCTACAGACCCCTCTTTGGCTAATAAGAAACAGTGGTTTAAGTCTGAATCAGTATGCAAGAATAATTCAGTATCTTGCCAGAACGAAACCCACTGATTAGTTGCATTGTGTCCTCGAATATTGATAAGTTCAACCAATTTGCAAATACTGTCTTTATAAGTTAGGGGGTTGATCTCGCTAAGCTTTGCCCTCACGTAATCTCGATAATCGACACCATATCCAGGGTAACTGCATGTAGCCCTCCAATGCGTCGAGACTGATGATACATAATCCATAACGGAGAACCCAAGTCTGAAAAACAGGTTAGAAATTTCATCAGATTTTTGCATAGTGTTACAAACATGAAAATCTTAAAGAATACATAGAACAGTCTCTCTTTTCCATCAATCTTTATTCAGCCTCATCTCCATCAGTTTTTCTTAGCCTTGTTACCGTCAATCATGCTTCTTAGCTTCGAATCCTTTAATCTTTTTCTTAATTTGTTTTCCATCAATCTTTTTCGTTTACTGTATTTCAATCAATCTATTCTCATTCAACTGTAAATTATATCATTTGTCAATTTATCTTTAAATATAATTCTTGGAAAAACCTTGTAAAATTCTTAAACACAACTTAAACGACTGTCAAGTCCTTTCTTTTTGCAATTGCTAACATTTATTTACTAAATCAATTTTCAAGACCTTGGCTGTTGTAGAACACATTGTTTTATGTATACATTAAGTGCAAAAATTTGTCTAATAATTTTTGTCACAACAAATATTTTTGATCAAACTGAGCATTCATAATATTTACTGATTGAGGTAACGAATATCAAATGATATCTGTATCTGTATTGTTACAAAATTTTGAAAACAATTGGTTATCCAATCTAAAAGAAATGCTAATAGAAATATTAGTCTAAACAAAAAGTAACATCGTTCTCGCTGGCTTTCAAAAGTCGCTGTCACTAACAGTTTGTTGCTGGAAGTTCCTTGACATTATCAAATTTTCAGTACAGAGAGTTTCTTACAAGTTTCAAAAAAGTTCAATAGCATTCTTAAAAAATATGCGTAAATGAATAACCTGTCACAGTTATTTGTTTATTTTAAAAACCTGAAATAGTTTTATCTTAGAAATCCAAAGGACTGGTCAATGTTGGCCAAAAGTTTATTTGTCCGAAAGGCCAAAAATGTTTCCGCAAATGTTTTTGCCAAAGTTTATTGTCCGTAATATTATCCGATGAAAATTTTTGTACTTAACGTAGAATATAGACGGATCTAGACAAAATGGAAAATATTTATGATAGTATTTTAACCTTTAGTTTTGGTGCCACAGCCTTAATATCATACTTTAGCAAAAGGTGAAAGGGTTACAGCCCCCCGACCCTCAATTCCCTCGGCCACAGCCAGCCTGTGAACATTTGATCACTGGGTAAAATCTAGCACTTAGAAGAAGGCTCGGAGCCAAGCCCTTGGTTTTGCTGCGCAGATTTTCTGCAAAACCGAAAGTTTTCTTGCAAAATGTTTTGCTGTTAATATTTAATGAACGAGTTGCCGATTTTGATTGTCAAATAACATCACAAGAAGGCAAAAATCCTTGGCTCTATTTCTAAAACTGAAAAATAGTGACAATCAATGTGGAAATATAAAAAATCCTAAAGAAATCGAAAAAAAATTGATAAAATTATATATCCACCTGTAACTATTCCAGTTAGGCTCATACTCGGAAATTGGATCGTTTTCGTAGAGTGGTTTATTTTTGAAAAGGTAATTGTTTGCCAAGGAGAAGGAAGTGACAAGAGTCCATACGAAATTAGGTTCCGAACTGAAATCGCAGTAGACGTGATGAATTAAGCCAGTTTTGTCACTAATAGCATAAATGCCGTTATTCTTTGCACCAACGCGGTACCAATCCACACATGAGATTTTGTTTGCCAAAGAAACACCTTTGAATAAAATTTGAATCAAGAAATCATTAGTAAATGTGACATTAGATATATTTTTAAGTTATATCAGAGCGGATCCAGAACTAGTCTTGAATGCCTTTTCTTAAATAAAGGGGGTGAGGGGTAACATTGCCAAATAAATAATTTCTGTCGGTATTACTAAACCGAGCAATGTTCCCGTTCAATTATTGTCCATTGATATGGATGCTATTTGGTAAAGGAAGTCAGGATAAGCTAGAGAAAATTAACGAGAGGGCTTTAAGACTAGCCTATTCGGACTACACAATTTTTTTAATAAGAAACAAGGGTCGATGTTGAGTACTCCAGTCTCTTAATGTTCTGGAAATTTCAATAGTCATTGTTTCTCAAGATTTTTCTTAATTATGATGTCATGAATGATGTTATGGAATGTTCGTGACCTTTTTTATCATGTCAAGAGATTCGCTTCCGTTCCGATGCTGTATTTAGATCTGGGAAGTATATTTTTATCCGTTGTGTCTTAAGTTCTAGGCAAACAGGGCAATCTTGTTCTTGGATTTTACAAAATTTCGTTGTTCTCAGTTTTATCAGGTTTTATCATGGTTTTTTTATTCTTTTGCTTCGAGTACTGAAGATTCTTAATTTCTTCTGACTGTCCAGTACTCGTCTTTTATAGCCAGTTTCTTATAAAAAAATGAGTGTATTTCAAAGATTCGTACAAAGATTTACTTGCTCACTAAAGAAAACTACCATACATGTCCAATCAGTTAGAATTTTAGCACTCAAAGTTTATGAAACACTTAACAACCTTAATCCTGTTTTCATGAAAGATTATTTTGTACCCAAAACAACAGGTCATAACCTTCAACTCAAAAACCCCCTTGACATCCTTAACATTCTAAAAACCAGAACTACCAATAGTGGTATCAGATCATTAAGTTTTCAAGGGCCTAAAATCTGGAAGATACTCCCGGAATCAATAAGGACAGCACATAATACTAGACGAATTAAGAATTTGATTCCAAGGTTCTCTCAACCAGTCATATTTGTAAACAGTGAATCTACAATCTAGATTCCAATATAAACGATTACTAAACGATATCCATATATTCTCGAAACATATTCAATTTTTATTCCATACACGCGTTCGTGTTCCAATCGATAAAGAAAACCATCTGCATTCAAGCAATCCAACAACCAAAGTCCTATCAATGAAAGTCCCCCAACCTCGAATCAATCCCTTTATATACCTCACGGAAATAAACTAAACAATACTCATTATTTACAACGTGTCCTCCGCAGAGTCTTCATGTTTTCTAACAGAGGCCAGAGGGGCGGAGTCTCTGGACAACTTTGCCGCGCCCTATAGTTCTTCAAAAACGCCCACTTCGAGTAAAATATTGGGGGCTCTAGAAAATTGGGGGACTTCTTACGTTGTTTGCCACCATCATATTTGATGCCACAATCTTTATATCATACTTTAGCGGAAAATGGAGGGGCTACGGCCCCCAATAACCCGGCTCACGAAATATCGTGAATAAAAGTTGGAAAACTTCCTTCCACGAAATATCCAAAAAGGCCCCTTATTTTGAAAATAACGGTATCATATATAAAAAACTCTTGAGAAATACAACAACGACTTTTTAAATTTCCAATATCGTTTCGAAGCTGGAACTAAAGAGGTACCAGAATCTATCAACTCAATAAGTTTGCTTAAAATGAGTCAACATAGAAATAAAGAAGGCATATACCTTGCAAGCATAAGCAAATTGCCGTGTCTGAGTGAGCCATGTGAAATTGAATAAATAAACAAGGGTGTGATGAAATTATCTGAGAGGAAGAGATGTTCAGCAGAATCCTCTTAAACCAGGCCATGCAAATTTTCTCATACAGCCCCCCCCCCCCTCTACAAATTAGATTCAATCTACCACTATCTTTTGATGTTACTTTTTTGTAATGGTTCGCATTCCCGCCAGAAAGGTTTGTAGGCTACCGGGTTTCGAAGACTCGAAAAATAGTTTTCGGTTTCATAAAAATAGTATTGCTACCGCTGCACAATGGATTTTTTCTGGACTATCGAAATGCTGCACAACAAGAGAAAGGGGTAGCCTAATATAGACGTATTTCTTTCGCAACTTACAAATTCGACGTGTGGTATGGGGGGCGCTGCTCTGCGATTGCAAAAAAGCTTATATCAGGGTGAAGGCATAAAGTGGTAAGCCTTTTCAGGTCCAACTAGGTTCAGTTCGAATTTTCTTGCAACTTTTTGAAAATCTGACTGCCTTAGGGGAGGCGTTTGAGGCGGCCTAGATCTGCCCCCCCCCCGTGTTAAATGTATTGATACTCTAGAAAAATGAAAATCATTCTATTCGATTTTGAATAAAAACTTCATAAAATCGAAACAAACCTTGATAAACTTCCAGTTCACAGACTTGAAGATTCTCTTCTCTGTCGATAAATACACTGACGTATCTCCCTAAAAGGGGTTGCCCACAATGCATTTCTTTCACTTCCCCACTTACTACGGTCTGATCTGATACGCACAATGGATTTGATCGTCCACCATTCGTTTCATCATCACCAACACTTATGCTGAATGGATTGATCTTCCATTGTCCAAAAGTTGTTCCACTTCTAATGATAACCATCCCTATATGCACACGATTAACAAGATCAACTTGCCACCAAGGGGGAGGAGATGTAGCTGTAAATGCACATACTTCCCATGCTCCGTTTCTGTTTCCATCGTTTCCAAATTCTGATACGAGATCTATACCAAAGACGATATGTTGCGAAGACTTTTTCGATGGTTTTTTGTATGCCATGTTAGCTGTTAAGAAGATGAAGTGTTAATAACCAAGCAAATTAAATAATCTGTCTAGAATTTACATTCATATCTTAAAAGGGAAACTGAAAGAATCATAGACGCTTGGAATTTGAGAGATCAATAAATGAGTTTTAATGGAATCCCCAGACAAAAACAGACAGATCGGCCGCCGTGGAGAATGCTAGTAAAAATATTGAAACGCTTAAGAGACACACTCAAATTACAACTGGTCTTGAATTATGTTTGCGAGGAAATTCATGGTGCAATGCAAGTGGAAAGAAGAGCTATTTCTGGACTAGGCTTTTTCAGATGCAAACCAGGCCTAAAGCTGAATTCACACTGGACGCGTCACGGCGCGGCGCGTCATGACGCTGACCAAATATGGTTAGCACTTTCGGCAGCTATGCGCACGCAGCGCTTTTTTTCAGCCACGCGTCACCGAGCGTCACTTCAGAACAACAGAAAAACTTAGAGAATAATGACAGCCAGAAACGTAAACAAAGATCTTCTGAAATAGGCCATTATAAAACTGTATTGCTTGTAGGGTAAAGTATATTTTGATGAGTCTCTCTGATTAAAGCATCGGGGGGCTAAATCCTGAAAGTAAGAAAAACAAACCACATTTATTAGTTGATGATAAGTAACAGTATTATTCGTGCTTAGAGTCTCTGTCTATAAAGATGCCTGGTCGATGTTCAATTCAACAATGATGTTGAGTCATTGTTTGTTCCGTTTTGGTAAAAAAAATATTTCAATCACTTCCCGTTAAGCTTTCAACACCTTCCAAAGGTTTACTTCCGAGGGATTTAATTTATGGAAATTTTAGAGAGTGTTGATAGAAATTCGCTGTTTAATTTTCCCTCGAATTTTGACAGGAAGGGAAACCCCATGAATCCGTAAAGCCAAACATCGTCCTTCTGTCAAAACATTGGCCAATCTCTCGAACCGAAATGTCGGAGAAACCACACGAGACTAATTGCAGTACATAGAACCAGTGGCGTAGCGTGACTTTTTCAACTGGGTATTCTCTATTAAACAAAAGGGTGGGGCAAGGTGTGGCTTGATGGGGCTTGATGGAAATAGGAGGGATAATAGGAAGATTGAAAGGACTAGCTATTGACAATTTATCTAATTTTCTTTCTGGTTCGGTTGGCAAGTACTGCACTGTCAGGGCATTACTATGATGAAAACGATACTTTGCTAAAGAACCCAACGCAAATATACTCTTCGAACTTATTCATTGCATCAAAATACCACTAACCATTTCATCAAAAGTAATTCAAATCAAAACGTATCATTGAAAGTCAGTAAAATTTTGTTGTTGTTAAATCCTCTAAATTTTGCACTGATGTAAAGAGGAAGTAACTGTAAACACCTTCTCTTGATACCTTAATACAAAAGAGCTTTCGAAAGTTATTCACATAGGGCATTACACAAGTTATAAATAGTTTGTGTTATGCAGTGGATGCAGTCTAGACTTCTTCATGGCTTCAGTCTAGACTTCTTAATCGTGATATTTTCAATACAAGTTAATGATTGAAAGAATCGAAGGTAATGAGACGAGAGACTGCGCAATAAAGCAAATAAATGGGCTCGAATAATGCAAACAAAATAGGCCAACAATATAAGTGAATGCACCAGGCAACTATAAGGATATTATCCAGGCCTATCTGCATTTACTTAAATTCTATCACATAATACAAACAGAAGCATCCCTGATTGACAAGCAATAACAAAATTGGCATTTCAAGTGACACAGATCTGAGTCAGTGTAGCATTATGTAGAAGCCTACCTTTCTATTCCACTTTGCTGTTGGTAGATTAAGATTAGGGGTCAAATGAGAGAATGATTATTTAACAGTAATACGGACACTGCAATAGCTTTGAATGAAGTCATGTTTACTGTTTTCGATGAAGATCCACCACTCCAACCGCTCCGACGTCCATTAACTGTTTATATCGATCTCAAAACGAGACTTTTTTGAACCAACTTTGAGGCTGTACGCTGCATATTTCTCAGCGTACAAGACCATTGTTTTAGCTGATTAACGGCAAATATTATTCATGGAAAGCAGGATTTTGATTGGTTAAAGTACCGTCTATGGTATTCACTGCGTATTCATGACCGATCTCCATTCAACATGAAGTAACTCAATCTTCAAAATTAGCTTCAAAGATCTCCCAGCTTCTCTATGCGTCGCAGCGTTATTGTTTCAAACTAATTTTGTGATATTTTGTACTTGTACAAAATGTAGAATATCGAAGGTAACGAATCCAACCAGAATCAATAGGCCATAAACATCTTTTAGTTATTACAAGTATACGTCGTATTAATATATTTTCTGAGAAATCTCAGGGTATTCACTGAATACCTTGAATACCCGGACGCTACGCCACTGCATAGAACACCTCCTTTTTTGGCCAAGATGCTGTTTTTTATATATTAACTTGGCTAATTATATTCGACGAAACGAAACGAAACGAAACGAAACGAAACGAAACGAAACGAAACGAAACGAAACGAAACGAAACGAAACGAAACGAAACGAAACGAAACGAAACGAAACGAAACGAAACGAAAATTGATATTTAGCGAAACAAACGAAACGAGCTCCATAACTCAAAAACCACTTGTGAGAATGGCTTTAAAGAAAACTTGCCCATCTGAGATGAATTTTGAAAAAAATTTTAAAAAGTGATATTTAACGAAACAAACGAAACGAGCTCCATATCTCAAAAACCTCTTGCAAGATCGAATCGAAACCTTGAAATTCGTGTCAGGGGCATGGATTTTCAGTGGCGCCAATATAGGTTAAATAGCAACGCATGATGATGAACTTGATAAAAAATCAGGCGGAAATTCGGTTTGTAGAGGCGTGCAACGTTTTTTGTATTGTAGACAATGTGGTAAAACACGCTGAAACGGCGATAATGGGCCTAATTCTAGCTGCGAAGTGATCTTGTTGTGAGAATCCTGTTTGCTGATTGGCTTTTTTGGTTGGGAGAAAATAATAGTGATCAGAGCTCTCAGCCAATCAAAGATTCTGTGTCTGAGATGAATGTTGAAAAATTTTCCTTTGAAAAAATTAATAACTAAGAACAAAACGCCCACAATGTAGTTTGGTTCTGAGAAATACCAAAACTACGGTTACAAAGCCGAAAATTGGCATCCGCCAACGGACAGCGCCATCCAAACTCATTACGAAGTCATATATTATTTTTAATTGGACACTTGAAGAAATGTACTGTCAGATGTCCACTGGATGGCTTCGGAGCTCTGCGTGATATTTTAATGGGCCTAAATACAGCAGTGGTTTAGATGGACGCAGGGAGGTAGTCAGTGGGCAGATCCTTTTGCTCAAACTTTTCTAGATTTTAAAAATAATTATGCGTTGATCTTGCTTTGGGAAACTTCCTCTTTGTCTTTTAAAGGTTGAGATGAAAACTATCATTTTAAAACGACACCCCTACTTTTGGAAAGGAAGGCTAAAAACGGTCGGCAGCGTAAAAGAGATATTCAATTCTTGAAAGAAACAGTGTCTAGCTATGAGCCTTATGACTATTCTCTAACATTTTAACAGCTGTTTTTGTCTTGATCTATAAATTATACTAACATGCTGTCCCGCTCAAGAATCCACTCAAATTTTATTTCAATCCTGCAAGTTTTTGAATCATTCTACCACTTTTCTAAAATTGTCCGAATTTCATTTCAGATGGACAAATTAAAAAATTTTCAAAATTCATTTCAGAGAGGCAAGTTTCCTCCAAAAACCATTCTTACAAGTGAAAATCCATGCCCCCGACACGAATTTCATGGTTTTAATTCGATCTTGCAAGCTATTTTTGAGATATGGAGCTCGTTTCGTTTGTTTCGTTAAATACCACTTTTTAAAATTTTTCAAAATTCATCTCAGATGGGCAAGTTTCCTTTAAAAACCATCGTCACATGTGAAAATTCATGCCCTCGACACGAATTTCATGGTTTCGATTCGATATTGCAAGCGGTTTTTGAGATTTGGAGCTCGTTTCGTTTGTTTCGTTAAATATCACTTTTTCAAAATTTTTGAAAATTCATCTCAGATGGGCAAATTTCCTTTTAAAACCATCGTCACATGTGAAAATTCATGCCCTCGACACGAATTTCATGGTTTCGATTCGATCTTGCAAGCGGTTTTTGAGATTTGGAGCTCGTTTCGTTTGTTTCGTTAAATATCACTTTTTCAAAATTTTTGAAAATTCATTTCAGAGGGACAAGTTTCCTTTAAAACCATTCTCACAAGTGGTTTTTGAGATTTGGAGCTCGTTTCGTTTGTTTCGTTAAATATCACTTTTCAAATTTTTCAAAATTCATTTCAGATGGGCAAGTTTCCTATAAAAACCATCGTCACATGTGAAAATCTATTGTTAGAACACAAGGTTCCCATTCATTGCAGGACATCACATGACAATTGCATCATTGCGCTGCAATTGCATCAGCTTCTGTAAATTGTATTATTCTTAGGGTATATAAGGGGTGGCTTTATAGTTAGGTTCAGTCTTGCCGTAAGCTTTGTCGAACTCAGTGTACCTTGTCGTTAGCTTGAAGAATTGTGTTTGCCGTTACATTGTCGTCGTTAGCCGTTTAAGATATTTTTAGTCGTTTGCCGTGAACTGATGAATTAGAAGAAGTGTAAGAAATTAGCGAATTGGATAACAGTTTTTGCCGTATTTATCGTGTACGTTTCTGCGAACGACATACGAACTCACGTTTGTAAAACCCCCTTTTTAAGTGGTTTTACACTATGCCCTCGACACGAATTTCGTGGTTTCGATTCGATCTTGCAAGCGGTTTTTGAGATATGGAGCTCGTTTCGTTTGTTTCGTTAAATATCACTTTTTCAAAATTTTTCAAAATTCATTTCAGATGGGCAAGTTTCCTTTAAAAACCATCGTCACATGTGAAAATCTATGCCCTCGACACGAATTTCTTGGCTTCGATTCGATCTTGCTAGCGGTTTTTGAGA